CCAATGGAAACACCCTGTTCATTTTGGATTTTAAGGACTAGAGCTTAGAAAACATCAAACGTATCAGATTTTTCCCTTAAAAAATTTACCCACGAAAATCGTGTAAAATTATCAACAGTTAAAAAAATATATCTTTTACCTCTGATGCTTTCAGTGCGAGTAGGACCCATTAAATCCATGTGAACTAATTCAAGAGGACGTTTGGTTGTAAAGTTGTTCACCTTTTTATAAGGGGCACGGGTTTGTTTCCCAAGTTGACATGGTCCACACACATGATTCAGATTCTTACCCAATTTAGGTACTCCTCTCACAAGCTCTTTGTTGGCTATCTTAGTTAGGCCTTTGAAATTCATGTGACCTAATCTTTGATGCTACAAATCAATGTTACTTATGATGGCTGAGTGACAAGTGAGATCATTAGTAGTAACAATCCCATAGCAGTTATCAAATGTGCGAACCCCATGCAAGATAGTATTTCCCTTTTTATCCAAAATTTCACATTTATTTTTTGAAAACAATACTTCATTATGGGAATCACACATTTGACTAATGCTCAAAAGATTTTCTTTAAGACCATTAACAAGTAAAGCATTTTCAAGTTTGGGAAGACCAGGTACACTTATAGAGCCCTTACCAATGACTCTATAAATGCCACCATCTCCAAAGGTAACAATTCCACCTTCATATTTTTCAAGAGAGGTGAAGTAGGATTTGTTACAAGACATGTGACGAGAGCACCCACTATCAAGATACCACATGTGTGAGTCACGTGCTTCTAGAGCAGTGCGAACAACTAAACAGGTCAAATCATCTTTTCTCACCCAAATCTTTTTGGTCTTAACAAAATCAGGTCTTATGGTCTTGGTAAATGTCTTGGCGTTGTGAACACCCTCATGAATCTTGGTATTCTGCCTAGACATGTAAGGTTGTCTCCTAGCCCAAAAAGTATTCAAATTTCCACCCTTTTGAGACACCTTACCAAACAATTCAAAGCAATATGGACGAATGTGGCCATACCTACCATAGTGATGACAAATAAAAACAGGTTTTACCTCCCTTTTGTTAATCTTACCCCCTTTAGGTGGATGAAGAGAGGGATCACCCTGGTCTACCTTCAACTTTCCCTTTGCTTGAGTCTTCAGGTCATGTGATGTAGAGGCCTGTCCCTTGTGAGCTGTTGCACCATAGCCTAGCCCACTTTTGTCACAGCCCATTTGTTGAGACCCGGGGATGTCTTCTAATGATTTGGAGCCTTTGTTCCACATGGCAATTTTGGCTCTAGCAATTCGGAGTTCTTCATCTTTTTGACAAACTAACTCTTCAATTGTAGCTTGTGACATCTCAAGACTTTCAAGCTTCTCTTCACATGTAGAATACACTTTCAGGAGTTCATTCCTTTTAGTTTCACAAGATAAGAGTTTCCCACATAGGTCTTGCCTGTCACTAGAGATCGCTATGACATTCTGCTTTGCTGTTGCAAGTTCTCCTTTTAACTTGACATTCTCACTTCACATGCTTTGAGCTTAAGAGAGAGTTTGTCATTGATTTTGGACAAATTCAGAGATTCCTCGTAAAGCTTTTCGTAAGCTTGTTGTAGTTCATCACCATTAATCTCATCATTGTCTTCTGATGTTTCATCATCTTCTTTTTGTTCCTCATTCTCCTTGACCTCATCCAGTCTAGCAACTAAGGTAGGAAAGGTGATAGATGGCAGTAAAGATGAATCTCCTCTTTCATGAAATTGGCTCAAAATTTCCCATGCATCTTTAGCCTTTGTGCAGTGAGCAACCCGTTGCTGTTCTTCATCAGAAATTGCTCCACGAATAGTAGTCAGAACTCTCTAATTGCTTGGATTGTCAACACTTTCAACATCCTCTTCAATGGTTTGCCAGCCTTCTGGATCGAAAGCCCTCAGAAACGCCCTCATTCTAATCTTCCAATACAAGTAGTTACTCCCATCAAAGGTGGGAACCTGATGCAGGTTCTGACCACGAGCTAATTTCGCTGGCTTTGGAAAAGGTTGAGTGAAAGTGGACCAAAATGCCATGAAAGCACTATCCCCGTCTTCACCGGATTCAGGTTCTTCGTGTTCTTGCTCTGACCCGCTTTCATCATCCCAAGTCACTGTGTAGACTTTCTTTCGATTCTTTTTCGAAGGACATTCAAGGGCAATATGGCCAAACCCTTGACATTCATAGCACTTGACCCTTTGCCCCTTTACAATCTTCTTTTCAGTTTTTGGAGCAAGTTTTGGTGGAAAAGTTTTGTTTCATTACTCGTCTTTTGAAATAGGGTCTCTGAAATTAGGCTTCTTTTTCTTCAGAAAATTTTTAAACTGTTTAGTAAACATAGCCGCCATCTCAAACTTTAAATCAAACTTAGTCTCCGAAGTTTTTGCAGTCTCATGAGCACTAGTGAAAGTCACACTATCTTTTTGTTTTTTCTTTGAAATCTGATGGGCTTCATAAGTCTGCAAGTTTCCAACCAACTGATCAAGCTTGAGGGTATCAACATTCTGAGCCTCCTCAATAACTGTCACTTTTGATTGGAACCTCTCAGGTAAAGACCTCAAAAATTTTCCAACAACTTTAGCTTCAAGGATTTTTTCACCGGGTGTGAAACAGGAATTCACGATGTCAATAAGTTTTGCATAGAAATCATCAAACGTATCACCATCACGCATAAAAAAAGTTTCAAAGGCGAAGGTGAGACATTGAAGTTTTGACCTTTTGACAGAAGTAGTACCTTCGTGAATCATTTCAAGAATGTCCCAAGCCTCTTTTGCCACCTCACATGTGCAAATACGACGAAATTCTTCAGGTGTGACGGAGCAAAAAAGGGAATTGAGAGCCTTACTATTCCAACTCGAGTTTTGGTAATCGGTTGTGTCCCATTTATCAAGGGGTTTAGGAATATCAATACCATCAATTGTGACAGTAGGTTCACTCCACCCATAGATCACGCAATGCCAAACTTTCTCATCGATGGATTTTAAAAATGCTCTCATTCGAGCTTTCAAATAAGAATAGTTTGTACCGTCGAGTAAAGGAGGTTTATGGATCGAGTAACCTTCATGAATTGAATCCATATCACTAGTCACAAAAAAATCACTCCTAAAGTTTTGATAAAAACAAAGAGTGACCTGCTCTGATACCAATTGAAAATCCTAAGTGATTCTTGATTAGATCAAGATTAAAATATTTCAATTCCCAATTATTCAAAACATGCAATCTAAATCATCAAGCACTTACGAAAGTGATTTAGACTGTTGTTTTCGGAATAAACAATAAATCGACACAAACGATTTTTACATGGAAAAACCACAATTGAAGAACCTTCAATTGTAATTAAAAACCACGGGTGAAACGCCACTAATCAATCCACTACTGAAGAAAGAAAGATTACAAAGATAACACACAAATTACCCAACTCAGTCAATTTGTCTTCAAACCTTCTGTAACTCTTTCACCAAGCCTTCGTTTCGGAACTGATTAATCTGAAGTTTGAATCCACAACTTCACTTGTCGAATCAATGACTACGTACAGAATCAAACTCTTTTGAAACTCCACGTTTGAATCTTCGGAATCCACCGAAGAATAACACTCTTGTATGTATTCAATCAATCTCCTTGATATGTGCTTGTCAATTCATGAGTTTAATACTCACTCAATTTAACAAGGAAAACTCACAAAAATACTCCAGAAGAAAACCTTAGAAAACCTCAAAGTAGATCTAAAAAACCTAATCCTAGTTTTGGAGTAAAACAAATACTTATAGAAATCTTGGACTGTGAAGCTCGCTCGAGCGAAGCTTTTCTCGCTCGAGCGAGAACCTTATCTCGCATGATTTCTATAAGTGGCTTCGCACGAGCCACGCAACCTATGCTCGAGCGTACAATCAACTCTTTCAGGTTTTTATGCAGACGCACTTCTTTGCTCAAGCCACGCAAGCTTTGCTCAAGCGCACATTCATCCCTTTCAGGTTTTTGCCAAACCCAGTCTTCGCTCCAGCGAGGACTCTTTCGCTCGAGCGAGCAAGACAAAACAGCACAGAAATTTAAAACTCAATCACATCAGTTTATTCGCGGGATTGACAAGACTCAGGGACCTAACAAGAAAGATCGCTTGAGCCAAGACCGCTCGAGTGTAACAAACACTGCTCGAGCAACGAACACTACCCTCCCAGTATCTTTGCAGACTAATACGGGAAGTTCTCAAAGACAGCTCAAGCGAACAAAGCACCGCTCGAAATACTGACCAAAATCTGGCCAACAGTTCTATTGAAAAAAAACAACTTCCAACCAACTCCAAACGCAATAACAACATCCAAACAACCAAACTCAACAAGAAATAGAATGAATGAAGATATGAACAACTATTCAAGAATAAGAATCCCGAATCCAAACTATAAACGGGTCAGGTCTAAACTAGAATCGTTATAGTTAATTTCTTATTTAGTTTATCATCATTTTCTAGGCATATCTATTTAATATTCATTTTCTGGGCATGTCTATTTAAGTTAAGATGGTAAAACAAATCAAATTATTTGAACTCGAAATATGATATCCAATATTTAAATATTTTTTTACATATCCAATATTTAAATATTTTTTTAAGGAACCCCAAACCAAGATTAGGCAAATCACAATTTTGGACATAATTTTAGCCAAATAAAATCATATTAAGATTCATATTCAAAATAAAAATATAGTGTTAAATTTAGAATTCATACATATTTTTGTTTGGGTAATATTGTAATTTCCATCGCAAGCCCTAGCATGTCCACCTTCAAATTATTTTACTTTTATTTGGATTTGGATAGAAAGAGAATATTCAAATAAGTTTCAAATTTAAAATTGTAATTGAAAAGGAATTTTAATTTATTTTTTTTGGGTGCACACTTTCTCATGGACAGGGTTAATAAAATAAATTAGGAAAATCAAACCTGGTGGTTGAACAAGGGTTGTGCTTCAAATCTTGTAGGCCAGTTGTAGAAACTTTTAAGGCTCACCAACTTGGAAAGTTTAAGAGTTGTTAGTTGAGAGAACACGATGATATCATTACTGGTGGTTCCTGTTTCTATTTCTTTCACCGCGACAATTGCTTCCATCTTTGGACAATTGTCTACCTTGAATCTTTCCAGATTTTGCAATCGCGAGAGCATACTGAACCGAACCACATGAACCAATTTCTTACAATTAGAAACCTCCAAATCTTCAAGTCGGCAGGACTTTGAATCGTTTTCTGAGGCTATGAGTAATCGCTTCTCCCATATCTCTATTATGTTAGGCAATTTCGAAATTACCAAATTCTCCAAGACGGGGAAAGCAACCTGTACAATAATTTACAACACTTGTAGTTAGTGACTGTTACAAAATTGTTGATAAGCAACAATTGATAATTGTAACAGTTTCCAAATGTGTGCTCTGATCATGCATGAGTGGAAATGAAAAGCAATAGACAAGCAAATTTATAATTGCATATCTCCATATTCTTTTCAAATATTTATTATATTGCTTAATTATTAACATTGAACCTTTTTGTTATGACCTCTTCACATTGTTTTCCATCATTCATCATTATTTTTCTATTTGCCTTAAATAATTTGTGTTCCTTAATCTTATTTGTTATTTTTTTGATAAGGCAAATTATACTGTAGATCTGAGAATTAGACCTACGAAAAGGAAGAAAATTTTATTTTAAAACTTCAGCACGGTGCCTTGATAATTTTTTATATTGATAGTTTCTTATTTAATT